CATTATCATCAGCATCATCAGCATCATCATGATCATCATCATCATCCTAATCATCATCATCATCATCATCATCATCATCATCATCATCATCATCATCATCATCATCATCATCATCATCATCATCATCATCATCATCCGGAGCGTCCCGGATCGGCGGCAGTGGCCGGAGGCCATGGCCGGAGGCCACTACAATAGACACCAATGACCAGATACCCGATGTTTTCCCATATCTTCTGGGTTTCTGTCTTCCCCCCCACTTCCCATATTCCCAAATTTTCTGGAAAATCGACGATCAATTATGTCTGTGTGTTTTTTTCCTCCTGAGTCTGGGTCCTCGCCGTCGCCGACGCCGCCGCCGCCTCCGCGGGCGCCGCCGCCCCGCCGTGGCGGCGCAGTCGCCGCCGCCGCCGCCGCCGCCGCCGCCTGCACCAGGCAGGCCCCCGCCAGCGGCGCGCCGCGCAGGTCCAGGCCCCGCAGCCCGGCCCGGCAGAGGTTGAGACGGCCGCGGACCTCAGGCCCCCCCTCCGGGGGGGTCCCTTCCTCCTCCACTCCTCCCCCCACCCCCCTCCCCCTTCCGCCTCCTCCTCCTACCTTCACTCCTCCCTCCCTCTCCTCCTCCTCCTCCTCCTTCCCCTCCTCCCTCCTATTCGATCCCCTTCTCCTCCTCGATCCTCCTCCTGCTCCATCCAGAGTGACTCCACGTGTCGGAAGCCTACCACTGGAGGCCTCCCGGACCAGGCCCGCGTACACAGATGGGATCGGAGGATCGCGCCGCGTCGCCGATGCATCGGCGACGTCGGCGATGCATCGGCGACATTGGCGCGGAGAAGGTCAGGCTCCGCATCATCGAGTCGCATCGCCGATGCATCGGCTATGCGGGGCGATCCTTGGACCGCGTTTACTCGAACCCAATTGGGGTGCCCGGACACAAGGGTTCGCCTTTTTGTCCGAAGCCTGCCACTCTCTGGAAGAAACAACTTGACGAAAGTGGGCATGGGCTTCAGGGAGCGCGTCGATAACACAATCCGGCCGCGTCAGATCCCCAGAGCGCCGGAAGCGGGTCGGATCCAGCCGGCCAGAGTCGATGCCCGTCGGATCGGAGCGGGGCCCAGGAAGGGGCCGCAGAGCGCGCGGCCAAGCGCGAGCCGACCCGACGGCGCCTGGGCCTGGCACTTGTCGCCCCGGCCTCACGAGCTCTGGCGCGCGCGAGCCGACCCGGAGCAGAACGTGGGCCTTGCGCGCCACGGCGAGGCGGCCTCACGCGGTGGCCTGCCCCGGGCCCCAGGCACGGCGCACCGCGTGGAAGACGAGGGCGCGTGCGCGCGACCTCGCGCGGGCGGCTCGCGCGCGAGTGCGTGCGCAGCGTCGCTCGCGCGGGCGGCGGGCGGGCGTGGCGCACCGCGCGGAGAACGGGGCGCTGACGCGCCGTCTGACGCGGCAAACTCACGCACGAATGTCAGCACCGTTGGACCCATCTGTGTCTGCGGCGCTCACGCGTCCGCGGCCGTGCCCAGCAGGAGAGGGCGGGCGGGGCGGGGCGGCCTTCTGCTTCAGCGGCATGCCTTAGAACTCAGAACTTAGCCGGCCCCTTGAAAGAGAGGAGGAGGAGGAGGAGGAGGAGGAGGAGGAGGAGGAGGACAAGGAGGAGTGAGGAGGAGGAGGAGGAGGCGGGAAGCAGTGAGGAGAAGGAGGAGGAGAGGAGGAGGAGGAGGAGGAGGAGGAGGAGGAGGACGACAAGGAGGAGGAGGAGCAGGAGGACAAGGAGGGATAGAAAGAGGGGGAGGACCTCCCCATCTTCCCTTCTCCCCCGTCGTACCTAGAGTAGTGGTGGTGGAAAACTGGCCCATCAGTTGGGGCGCTCCCGCGTCGACGCGCTGGGACGCGCTCGGAAAAACTTGTCACGTTGCCCTGGAAGGGGTCTGGGTGCCGAGTCCTGGAGCGGATTTGGACTGGGCGGCAGGGCCGCCTCCCTCTCTCCACACTGTGGTCTCTTCGTCCTCCTCCTTCCTCCCTCCTCCCTCCTCCCTCCTCCCTGCTCCCTCCTTCCACTGATGGGCCCTTTTTCGACCACCACCACTTACCACAGGTAGCAGAGGGAGGAGGAGGAGGAGGAGGAGGAGGAGGAGGAGGAGGAGGAGGAGGAGGGAGCAGGGAGGAGGGAGCAGGGAGGAGGGAGCAGGGAGCAGGGAGGAGGGAGGAGGGAGGAGGCTCCGCCTGCTGAGTGCCTGGGGCCCCGGAGCCTTCTTGCGGCGCTCTGCCTAAGACAAGCAGGTCGTCGAGCTCGCCGGGCTTCCTGAAGTCCCCGGATGGGTTCCTGGCCCGGGGCGATCGGGGCACCCCTGGAAGGCCCTCGACGGGAACGTCAGAGATGCCTCGAAACACGTCGAGACTGCCCCCCCCAGAAGTAGGAGGGGGAGGGGGTCCTCCTCCCCTCTCTTACCTCCCTCCTCCTCCTCCTCCTCCTCCTCTCCTCCTCCCCTCCACCTCCCCATCCTCTCTCCTCCTCCTCCGCCTCATCCCTCATCATACCTCATCCCCCTCATCCTCATCCTCCTCTCCTCATCTCATACCTCATCCCTCAACCTCATACCTCCTCATCAGCATCATCATCATCATACCATCATCAGCATCAGCATCAGCATCAGCATCATCAACAGCATCAGCATCAGCATAGCCTCAGCATCAGCATCACATCAGCATCAGCATCAGCATCAGCACATCATCATCATCATATCACCATCATCAACATCATCATCATCATCCCATCATCATACATCTCATCATCTTCAGCATACAGCATCAGCATCAGCATCAGCATCACAGCACAGCCAGCAGCAGCAGCATCACCTCATCCTCATCCTCATCTCATCTCATCCTATCCCATCCCTCATCTCTTCCTCCTCCTCCTCCTCCTCCTCCTCCTCCTCATCATCATCATCATCATCACCCTCATCATCATCATCATCATCATCATCATCATCATCATCATCATCATCATCATCATCATCATCATCAGCATCATCATCATCCACCCCCTTCCCCCCTCCAACTTCTGGTGGTGGTGGTGGAAAACACGCCCATCATATATCCCCCCGATCGGACGTTACCCCTTTCTGTGGGCCCATTGGGGCCGTCGGGGAGACAACAAAAACTCTCCGTCGGCTGCCTCTTGGCAGGCCGCCTTCTGGATCGGCGCACCTCTCTGCTGTCCCCCATGCGTGCGCCGCCATGGGGTCCCTGGGACCCGCGCACCTGTCCAAGAGCCTGTTTCCCGAAGAGATCGCGATACCCAGACCCCCTCGAGATATGGAAAAATCACGACGGGAGGCTTTTCTCTATTCTCGGCCTCTGGGGGCCCTTACCAGCTTTCGGGACCGTCAAAAAACGGCTCAGGATGAAAAACTGGTCCCGAAGAATGGGTCGAGGCATCTGGGGGTCGACTCTCTGACAAAAATTGTGATGTCTGGGGTCTTGGGTATAACGCCCGTGACAAGTCCCGCCGCCCCCCCCCCTCCTCCCCCCTGGTCACGTCACGATTCGCGCCCGCGCCGTGTGGGACCTGGCCATTCCTAAGCACTCCCAGGCGGCGCCGGCGCGAATCGTGACGTGACTGCCTCCCCCCCTCCCTCACCCCAGTCGCGCCCGTGATCGCTAGAGGATGAGAAAACCATGTCCAACAGCAGAAATTCTCCGAAGCCGACGGCGGCCGATGCTGAGCAGGCAGCTGTCGCTTCGGAGGGGCAACGCCCGTGGCGACGCCGGCTGCACGACACCTTACTTAAATGAGGGGATGGCGACCCCAATCCACGACTTTGTGGGGTTTTCGAGTGGACCAGAAATCTGATGCCAAACTCAAGATCTACAAAGGGGGGGCGTCCATAATGGATGGGAGTGCGTCCGAATACCCCCAGTAGTGCATCCCCGAGTGTCACCCCTTTTCTGAGCGGCAAATTTTTGCGGGCTGAGCTCGGGGATTGGGGTTGATAAATCGCCTGCGAAAGCTGTCCAGAATGGTCGCGAGCTCCGCTGGTCTTCGTGCAAATTGTTTCCCGGGGTGCGGCCTAACCTGAACTTGGAGTCGAATCCAGCGGTGGCGACGAGGGCTCTGCAGAAAAGAGCGGCGGCATCGGGGTGCTAGTATGAGGTTGGGCATGTCCTCCTACAGGCAGATTTTCACAGAAAAACTAAAGATTCAAACACATGTCAAACAATTCTCCAACATTATCTAAAATCGTCCCCTGACAATATGTTGTTACTGTGTTTGAGCATTCCTCCCGTAGAGGGACGTGCCCGATTTACTGCTAGTAACTCTTTTAGAGGCCTCCAAAATGGAGGCCGAGTAGATGGGGTCGGAGGATCGCGCCGCATCGCCGATACATCGGCGATGCATCGCCGATGCATCGCCGATGCATCGGCGTGGCAAGAATTGGGCCCCACATCGAGCCGCATCGCTGATGCATCGCCGCTGCATCGGCGATGCGGGGCGATCCTCCGACCCGACCTACTCTGACCCCATCTAGGAGGCCTATATAGATCTTTCTCCTCTGAACTTCGATCCCCCCGAGCCGCGCACCAGCAGGTCCCCCTCCTGGAAGCCCGGGACGCTCAGGCGGTGGGACTGCACGAAGGCCTCACGCGAGCGGCGCGCGCGCATATCCGTATGTCCGCGCCGTCGCGGTCTGGGCTCCGGGTCGCGCTCCCGTGGATCTACGCGGCCGCATGTGGGTACGTTCCGCGCGGGGCACGCGACGAAACGCCCCGCGTCCATGGGGTCACGGCCCACGGGAAGCCCAGCCCGCGAGGCCATGGATGATGGGCGAATGTTCCACCACCACCGCCATGTGCAGGACGGGAGAGACCTCCTCCTTCTCCTCCTCCTCCGCCTCCTCCTCCTCCTCCTCCTCCTCCTCCTCCTCCTCCTCCTCCTCCTCCTCCTCCTCCCCTCATCCACCTCCTCCTCCTCCTCCTCCTCCGCCTCCTCCTCCTCCTCCTCCTCCTCCTCCTCCTCCTCCCTCTCCTACCTGTGGTAAGTGGTGGTGGTGGTGGAAAAAGGCCCATCAATGGATGTGGATACGTGTCCGGCCCGCGAGCGCCTCCAGCGCCCGCCGGAAGCCCGCCTCGCCCGCCGCGCGCTGCTCCAGCAGCGGCCGCCACCGCTGCCAGGCGCCCCGCTCCGCCGCGGAGCTGCCGAGCCACTGCCTGATGGGCTTGCTTTCCACCACCAGCACCAACACCATAAGTTGGAGGGGGGAAGGAGGTGGGGGAGGAGGAGGAGGAGGAGGAGGAGGAGGAGGAGGAGGAGGAGGAGGAGGAGGAGGAGGAGGAGGACCCCCTCCCCCTCCCACTGATGGTGGTGTTGTTGGAAAACAGGCCCATCAACTGCCTGTGCAGCAGCATCCACCGCTCCCAGTCCACGCCCTCGCTCTTGCCGTAGAGCGCCGCCACCTGCGCGGCGAGGCTTCCGCACGAGGGCGCAGCGACCTTCTACGCAGTGGCTGGCGCGGGCCGCAAGAGCCCGACGCCAGTTACAGAGGGAGCGAGGGCGCGCTCACGCGCGACCTCACGTGGGCAGGTTGCGCGCCAATGTGCGCACAACCGACTCTGTTTTTCGTCCGTCGTTCCGCTGACTCGCTCTGGGGAGCTCTGGGGAGCACGGGCGTTTTGACCTCACCTACTTGGCGTCCTCGCGCCGTGACAGACAACGGCGGGAGGTAACTGACAATCTGCGGCCTCCGGGGACCCTCACCGAGACCCAGGGTGACTCAGGGTCCGTCAGAGAACGACGGCTCGGGATGAGAAGCGAGGCCTGGGGGAGGGGTCGGGATCTCCGGGGGTCTCCGTTGTGAACAAGGGCAGGACGCAGGCGGTGTGGAGATCATTTTGCACTGCTCAGCGATCACCCGCGTTGTCTGGATGAACCTTTTCGTTTTTCAAGGGGCCCCAGGACACACACACACACACACACACACACACTCATACACACAAATAAGCATTTTCCCCATCTTTCCCCAGATTTTAAAGTTTTCGTCCCCCCCTCCCTTCCCATCTTTTCCCATATTTTTTATGGGGAATCGACGACTCATTGTGTCTCTGTGTGTTTTTGTTCCCTCCTGCGCTTTTGGGGCCGCCCCGCGCAGGCCCGCGCGCCCCCAGGACTGGCGCCCCCTGCTGCCGCACAAGCGGTGCCGCAAAAGCGATGCTGCGACGGCGGTGCTGCGAGGATGCCAGCGCCGTCTGGGCACGCCGAGGATATCGGGCGCGGGCGGCCAGCATCGGCACACGGGCAGGGACCTCACGGGGATACCGTCGGGGCGTTGACCTGAGGTTAAGTCGGGCGTGTCCCCCTACAGGGGGATTTTCGACGACAAGTACCCCAAAATGGTCAAACATATGAAACAAAATGATCCCCAGGCTATTGTTTTACTATTTTTGAATATTCCCCCTGTAGAGGGACAGGCCCGACTTAAACCTAAGGAGCCCTAAATAAGGAACGAGGCCCCTTTCTTCCATAAGTTAAGCGTCGAGTTCCGATCGAAGACCTGAGGAAAACCTGAGGCGAGCTGACAAAACAACTAAGGAACACTGAGCCCCTCCCGAACGAAAAGGGTTCCTTCTTCAGCGCCCCGACTGTACGCCTGCGCACCCTTCCCGCTCTCACCGGCGCAACCGATAGGGCCAGATCATGGGGTGGGGGGGGGGCGGCGTGCCCCGTAGGGCATGCAGAAATGAAGGGGCCCTGGGACACCCAAACAAATACACACAAATAACAGAAAGAGCGTGTTCTACCGCTGCTGGCGGAAAACCGGGGGGGGGTCACTACCGGTTCGAACCCCCCCCCCCCCCCCCCCCCTCCCGGAAAACCGGGGGGTCACTACCGGTTCGAACCCCTCCCCCCCCCCCCCCCCGCCCCCCACCTGCCATCATGAAAAGGGGGGGGGGGTCACTACCGGTTCGAACCCCCCCCCCCCCCACCTCGAAAACCGAGTGGGGGTGCGGACAGTGTTGGGGACGGTGTTGGTGGGGACAGTGGTGAGGGGACAGCGGGACAGTGGTGGGGACAGCGGGGGGACAGTGGGACAGTGGTGGGGACGGTAGTGGTGGGGACAGTGGTGAGGGGATAGCGGGACAGTGGTGGGGACAGTGGGACAGTGGGACAGCGGTGGGGACGGTAGTGGTGGAGACAGTGGTGGGGACAATGGTGGGAACAGGGGGGGGACAGTGGACAGTGGTGGTGACGGTGGTGGTGGGGACAGTGGTGTGGGGACAATGGGAACGAGGTGGAAACAGTGGACAGTGGAGGGTACAATGGTGGTGGGGACAGTGGTGAAAGCGGTGGCGAGGACGGCGGTGGGACAATGGGACAGAGGTACAGTGGGGACAGTGGTGGGGACAGTGGGGACAGTGGTGGGAACAGTGGGACAGCTCAGTGGGACAGCGGAGGAATCAGTGGGACAGTGGGGACACTGGGGATAGTCGGGCAGTGGTTGGGGCCGTGGAGACAGTGGGGAGAGTGGAACCGTGGTGGGAACAGTTCTGGGGACAGCGGGGACAGTGCGAAAGTGGTGGGGCCACTGGTGGGGACAGTAGGGGCGGTGGTGGAACCAGCGGGGACAGCGGTGGTGAGGACAGTGGTGCTGGGAACACCAACGGGGGATGTGATGCGGACGGTGGTGGGGACCCGGAGTCGTTTGCTGGCGGTGAGTAGGGGG